CTTGATTACACTTGGACGGGGACGGAAAACTTGCGATACCCGAACGTAGCTAAGAGCAAAAAAGTAGGATGGATCGATATTGACGAGAAATGGTGGGATATGCTGCGCAAGCGAGCGGTGAAGGTGTACCCAGGACAACAACGGCGAACAAGGGTGCCAACGAAGAGCAAGCGTTTTGTTCAAAAAGTGATGGGCCTGTGCGCCGTTGCGCGACCGTGCGGCGACTTCGACGGACGAATAGGAATGTATCGCTGCGCAAAAAAAAAGGTTGCGCAGCGAAACAGCAAGTTTCACAAACGAGGAGACGTGTATGATGAAGACTGTGATGTTGACGCAGACATCTTCTACGAGTTAGTCACCGAGAAGTTGATCCCGGACATCTATAGGAAAATGGCAGACTTTGACATAGTCTTTGTACAGATGGATGGCGCACGGCCTCATGTGAAGTGCATGGACGCTTTAAACGCTGCTGGAAAGGAACGGAAGCGCATCGATGTGAAGCAAATGCCAATGATCAAATTTGTGTTACAACCGGCCAACTCGCCGGACACCAACTTGAACGATCTCTGCTTCTTTAGGTCGCTATCAAAGTACGTTCAAGAGCACGAACGTCAGATCGAACACAGCGCTGCCAATAAGGACGAGTTTTGGAACCTCGTGGTGGAGCAATACCATGAATATCATGACCGCGAGAGACTTCAGAGATGCTGGGATGTCAAAACTGCAGTCACTAAATGCATCCTCGACGCCAACGGGACGAACGATTACAAGCTACCGCACGGCATCAAGCACGAGGAACCCATTTCTGTCGATCTTTCCTTGGATTTGGACGACGCAAACGATCCGGTGGCGCGCACTTTGGACTACGAAGGTCTGCATGCCTCACTCCCTTCTTCTCTCCCACGATAAATTTATGTTGCAAAAGTTGCGACCCCCTCGATTTGCCCTGAGTTGTAACTCAACAAAAAAACGCGAAAAAAAAGACCCCTCCACGAATTCACGAGTCATGAACCGGTGCATCACTTTTTACACGGAGGTTAGTATAAATTTATCCGGTTCATCAATTTTCCTCACCCCTATAACCAGCGTACCCAGTCGGCGCAGGCCCAGGTACGTGTCCACAGAGAGACTAATCCCTCACGGTTGCGGACTGTGGAGATAGCCATTCAGTACAAGGCGGTCTGTGACCGACGTGAAAGCACGAATACCTCACGTTTGCGGATTATGGAGATAGCCTCTCAATACAAGGCCGTCATGCGTGAAGTCATAAAAAATGTTGCGGTGAGTGGTTATTTCGTTCAGAGCTTGCGTCACTGAAACGTTTGAACAGCCGGATTTTATAGCAGAACACGTAGACTTTACAATTTTGCAACAATTAGAACAGGTAATCATTACTTGTTCATGTGTGCAGCGATGATTTACAGCTAAGCTCAGTCCTGGGAACGGAAACTCCTTCAGTCTGGTGCTCTCTCTATATTTGGAGCAGATGCAGATACGACGCTAGAAACATCTTCGAAATTGATTGAACGTGGCGTAAATGATAATTCATCAAGGTCCGAAAGCCACTTTTCACAATTTGGCCGGCATGAGTTCGCTTCTGGTAGTCCACGAACAGAGTCTCAGCAAACGACTCAAGAGGAGACAACTGGTTTAGAGGTAAATCTTTCAATCGCTATCTGCTCATTCGTTTAGAGTGACCTCATCTCACAGGGTAATAATAGTTTGAAGCGTAAGGTATGTTCAGCACTCAATCTATGGGTTCATAGTCTCACCAATACTGGTACGTACGAAGCGTGAATCTGCTGGAACACAACCTGTTTGTCAGAAAGACACTGAGAGTCTGAGTTCAGATAGCGAGGATAACACTCTAGGTGCGCGATGGAACATCTGTATGATTTTTTATTGAATGACGAGTCCAACGTAGAGATGGAGCCCCCGACGTCAAACCTTGTATTGAGCCAGTTCGAGAAAGTAGCACGTACTAAAAACAAATGGAAGTGTTCTTTCAAAGATGGGATAATGCTTTTAAACGGGTCTGAATATGTGTTTGGTAAAGCAAACGCGGAATTCCTCTGGTGAATTTTGAGATGCTCGTTTCTTCTTTGGATGCAACGCTACCGTACACGCCGCGAAAGCGGGGTCGAGATTTGTGGAGAGTAATTCTACAACGAGCTTAAACCTCCCCGTCGAGATGTTTCTTCATGTAATAGAATGTTGGCCAACTGGAATAATTCAGCGTAATGACGGAACTCTCTTCGCACGAGCTCAAGAATGCACAGCTTCAAGCTGAAACCACTGAAATCGATTTGTAGTTGTGTGTCTCTCTCACCTCCACCAAAGCAGTACACTTTCTCAAACTGTAGTCGGCGAAAGGCAAGCTCTTGCTTATCCATGTATCCGCAACCATCCTCCCTTGGCGTGGCAATTCTCGCTCTCACTATCAATTTACGTAGACTACCCGTTTCAGGTTGCTCACTGTAGAGATGTAGCCAAGCTATTTTTGAGCGCACGGATTTCACACTCTCACGAGCAGTGTCGACTGTTTGATTGAGATGCGTGGTTTCCGATAAGAGAGCACACCCAGAGGCGTCTAACATTGCCAACCTGTCTAAATTCACCACTTTTTTCACTATGTTCGTTGAGTGCACAAAAAAAACAGTTCCAAGGAACCGCCACTTACTGTACAGAAGTTGAACGTCCTCCTCCGATTTTCGTAGGTGCTCCTGATCAGAAACGTGAAACTGCATGTCGTTTATGCGGTGTGAATTACCTGCATCGTTCTTAGAAACGTCGTCACTTCGTAACCTTGTTCCATCTCTCTATCGCGAGTCTGTAACGACCCGCGACGGTTGTGTTCATCTTGAAGTCGTCGCGTCGTCCGTCACTCACGTATGATGAATAAGGCAGACTACTGGTAGCAAACTTTGTTGGAAAAATTTATATCACACCCCCTGGGAGAGTCCCTACATGACGAACGAGTCATGAACCGTCGAGAAATGCATATTAGGTATATTTTAGTAATATCACTATAGAGTATTCCTACCTTGGTGAAAAACACGTTCGCCTCGCGTCTTATCTTTTCCACGCCTGTCGCGCCAGTTGTCATCGCGCGCGTGGGCGATGGTCGAATGGAAGACAAGTGCGATGATGATCCCTTCGACGATCCGTTCGGTGATGCTCTTCACGTATCGTCCGGGCTCCAGACGACACGTGACTCCAGCGCCATCGATGAAGAATCGGTGGGTGGAGAGAATGCTGTGAAGGGGGTTGTCGAGCGCGTGGACGTGCGGATTCGCGGTGAGTTCTTGAGATACAAAGATGCGAGAGAGGTCGCGGTCTGCATCACCCTATCCAAACCACCTCCGGTCCGTTCGACCTGTCGGCCGTGACTGAAGACACTGGTTGGCCCGGGAGCAAAGCTGTGCGCTACGGGTGGATCGAGAAGAGTAGAGTGGAAGACTTCGTGAACGGTCTCTGGGATCAGGACGGGCGAAGGTTTTGGAAGCAAAGATCGAGGAATAAACCACAAAAATATTGTCCAATATCGTGGTCTATTGCTGCGAGTGCGGCCCGGATGACTGCACCTTGACTGTTTCGCAAATGACGGCGGTGAACGTGAAGCGGGCGACGAAGCGCGTGGTCGGAACGTCAAAGAAATGTGGATGCAAGAAACAGTACGTATTCAGCGAATTAAACTCAGACGCCATTCGGATTGTTTCGCCGCAGACGGTCAGCGTGGGTGATTTAGTGCGAGTATCGTGGGATCCGGCGGAGTCACACTGCGCCGCTTGCGCCCGCTCGCAGTCGGTGGTGATGCTGCGAACAACGCGAGCAATATTGCAGAGGATGATCGCACAGCATCCAACGTATACCACGCACAAGATTCAAGAATGCTGGCGTGAGCACGTCAAGAAGTATCAGATGCTTTGGACGCTGGTGAAGGAAACATTTCAGGATGACGATGCCTGGGACAAAGCATACACGAGCGTTTTGAAATTCTGTGACCATAAGCAGAAAGAAATAGATAAACAATTCGGTGATGCGTCGTGGACGACGTGGCGATCCTTTCGAAATTACTTGGAGACGCAATGGGGGCGACATAGGAAGCTTTGGGCGAGACACTTTCGAAGCGGGTTGACGTATGGGACGCAGGAGACAACTGGATCAATCGAATCGTTTCATGGACGTTGGAAGGCTCGCCTCATGGCAGATGGCAAGGGAGATATCCGATCTCGTCGCATGGACTGGCTCATTCATCACTTACAGCACGAAATCATTCCTCGATATTGTGACAAGGTCTGTCAAGCCGAGACGAGCATGGCGCCTGCGCGTGTTAGGAAGGCCATGTTTCATGTCGTAGACGATGCGAAAACGATCGATGACATAAAAGATGTTGAGAAAGAAACAACGGACGATGAGGGCACGCGGTTCTCTGTGTCGTATAGAGTCAACTACTCGGGAGAAGTGCACAACGTGTCCGGTTTAGAGACTTTAGAAGACTGTGCGTTGGACAGGGATCACACACAAGTAAAGTGCTCTTGTGCGCTCGGACGAAACGGCCAGGTTTGTGCTCCGAAAATGAAAGCGATGCTCATGGAGAACGAGCTTTGGACGTTCAAGGCATTCAACATTCAATGCAAACCTGATGTTGAGAGAACTGAGTTTGATGTAGACGTGCCAATGATACAAGATGATGTTGAAGCCTTCCAACCAACTCATCGGAGAAGCCTTGGTGTAGCTTTCGACAACGTGAGTGTAAAGGCACGCTGGGTTCAATCGCATATCGAGATGATACAACTCGCACTCGATCCAGAATTTACGTTCGAGCCTGATGAAGCCGCCCACATCACAGACACCCTCACCAAACTCCAACGTTTCATGAACAACTTGAAGACACACAGAGAGATGTCTCAAAGCATGTCCAAGAATAGCAAAATGGAAGGCGATGGTGTGATCAGTATGTCGAACCTGGTTGCGATTCCTATGAGAGGCGCGGCGGGTGATACGGCGTTGAGCAGGAAGAGGGGCTGGCACGAGAAGATGGTCGATGAACACAAACGCTAGGCTAGCAAAGGCGAGCAAATTAGCATTAGGAACTACCTCTTATAGATGTTGTAGATTGTACTAAACCATGTAAAGTATGCATTTCTCGACGGTTCATGACTCGTCCGTCATGTAGGGACTCTCCCAGGGGGTGTGATATAAATTTTTCCCTCGTCATCTGGCAAGAGGATTTCGTCGTCTCTGATTCCATCATCATCACCGTTGCTGTCAGCACCTACCACGGTACCGACGGCTACTTCACTTTCTTCTACCTCGCACGTCTCTGATGTCGAATGTGTGCTTCGTCATCGCTCCTCGGCGCGGTGCCCGCTTCGTCGACGGGAGTCATCGAGCGTCGACGGCTTCCGTTTGAGCTAATAAATCATCAATTCAAATTTCAAACACGTCGCGCCTAAACCCGCGCTGCTAAACCCCGGTCGCACCCCCGCGTTCGCGCGCGCCTCGCTCGTCTCGTGTTGCGCGCTCTTGGTCGTTTTCACGCGCCAGAGCCTCGCTGAGGAGGCATAAATCAGGATTTTCCACCGGGCTCAAAATGACGTGTACCAGGAAATGTCTCGTACAACACCGTTTACCCATACTGATTGTCTGGTATGATCTGTGCCGGGGCGTGCAGCCCTACTCCGTGTGGCCTAAGAGGAGACCTGTCCGCGTCAAATCCAGGCGTCACACTTCTCACCGTTTGAACCCTCGGAAGGCGTGCACAGTCGTTGTTAATTTGGAATAGGAGCGGTGCATGAGTACGAAAGCGGTTTCGAAGCAATTGAAAACCAAAGGCTTACAACGCCTTCGCTGGTACTGCCAGTTGTGTGAAAAACAGTGTCGCGATGAGAACGGTTTCAAGTGCCATAGCGCGTCGCCAGCACACATCAATCGACTCGCCGTTTTCGCTCAAAATCAAAGGAAAGTGGTCGATGGGTTTTCTGAACGGTTCCGGTCTTCTTTCATATCTGAGCTGGCACTCAAGTAAGTCATCAACCACCTCTCTAACTTCTGAAAGTGTATAACTCACGCGAAGCTGCTGCAACTCACGCGTGGAGGCAAACAAGTTCTATAATCAACTTATTGCAAATAAAGGACACGTTCGCATGAATGGTACTATCTTCGACCTGATTAACGAGACTTTTCTCACTTACAGGGCAGCCACTCGGTGGACTAGCCTAACTGAGTTTGTCCGCGCCCTCGCGGCAGAGGGTGTCTGTGAAATCGATGAAACAGACAAGGGTATTTTCATCAGATACAGTCTACCAGAGAGTAATAGCACACTGCGCGAAAGCTCTGCGCGTAAACGAATGCATGCAGATGAAACGGCAGATAAGAAGCACCAACAGGTACAGAGAAAATATTACACACCACAACTTCTCTTTCTTGCTTTTCCAACACAGGTTGTACGCGATCAGTTAAAACGAACAGGGGCAGCTGCTATCTCCCAAGAAACACGACCAACAAGCTTGGATGGCTCTTCAGTCAAGTTCAAGATGGACTTAAACGGCAAAGAGGTGAGTGGAGAGCCTATTTCCGACGCCTACCAACTCAACCACATCACAGAAAAGAGACGAGGACGGTTTCGAGGTTTGGCTGTGTTCATTCAAGTATGCATGATTTATTCACTCTTCCTTAGATACATGCTACCGGGATCGTTGTACGACTTCGCAGTTCAAAGAAGAAATACGTCATCACGGCACTCTCGAACGGTATCGCAGAGCTACGCTGCCCAGATTCTGCGGACTCTTTCACAGCACCAATAAAGGATCTTCAGACGGTCATCCCAGTACGTCAATCTATTACTTTATGAATGAACATCGTAACTTTGTTTAGGCAGCTGGTAATCTCGTAAAAGTAGTTCGCGGACCAAGTGTAGGTCGTATTGGAATGGTGTCGAGTATTAATCCTGCACGCAATTCCGTCCAAGTATGCTTTGATGGAATAAACGGCCCGTTGATGAGCTTTGCGTTTTCTCATGTCAGTAAATTTTTTGATAAGTGCTCGTAAAGTTACACATTATTTCATCTTTTGATGTTTGAAATAGCACGCGTCGAAACATAGTCGTCAACAAAGCTTTGTAGCTTATGGGGCCCCACGTTGATTATCCGTCTGCTGGGCCGACCTCGTATACAGAAAAGTCACCGTGTATAGTGCTTTGAACTAGCAAAGACTCCTTCATTGCCCGCTGCTGAAATCCTGGTTTAGAAGACTCTGAGGGTGTCGGAGTAACTTCTGCAGAAAGAATTAGTGTGTGACATTTGCAAAACTGATCATACGTACGATACGGTATAACAGCGCTCGATGCATGGTTCGTTAAATCGAAATGCTGGTGTTCCTCAGTAAAGCAAGTGAATTCGTTCTTCAAGCTCACCTTCAAACTATTCGAGTCCTGAACTCCAGCTGATCTGTACAGTTTTACACTATTGGGCGCGTTTAGCGGTCTTCTCTCGGTTGAACACTCATTGCCTTCAAAAAAATGCACGTTCGTTTCAACTTGCGAAGACTGTGTCGATCAAGAGTGTTCAGAACGAAAGATTGACAAGGCATCAAATAGTCCACTCACCTCGTTGTCACTATTCGAGGAAACTGCGTGGTTTATCCTTCCACTGTCAACCAACTATTCGAGGTGTTCACGTCAGAAAATGGCAATGAGAGACCTATGGGAGAACGTACCGTATTTTTGCCAGGTAGTACCTGCAAATAAGATGGTATAAAAGATGGTAGTACACCTGTCGCATCAGAAATCTTGCTGTGTAACTGCAGCCACATCATTCAAACGGTCAACTTAATTGAGTCTTTTGACTTACTTTTGGCTTTCGCTTCACACGAAGCTCACCCGGTAGGTGCGCGGGGTGTTTGGCTCTACTTGAATCAGCATTTATGTGCTCTTGGTAGAGAAGACTCTCCAACTCTTCACCGCGCTGAACCGTCAACTCCAGCACATCAAGTACGCTGACGTTTGTTCTCCCCTAGTTCTGACTTCAGTTACTTCTCTTGAAAACGCTATCATAACTGACCAATGAGGTCGCCTTTTTGTGCGCTGCTTCACTTAGATCTTGTAAGAATCTACATTTGCAAGGTGAGTCCAACCGTGACCAGGTGCGTGAACAATACCTCAACAATAACTCGCGGATTGCTTCCAGTGTCGATGCTTTGACGGCATCGAAATTTGTACAATACTGAACCGTTATTTAGACTCCTAACTTTTTGTTGGATCGTGAAAAACTCACTTACCTGAACGACGACTACGTCCGTCACGACTTCTACGAGGTCCTGTTGCGACATGCTCCGTTGCGTTTGACAGTTCGAACGTCTTCTGCGCGCACCCGGTCGAGCATACAAAAAAAGACAAGAAGGGTTATCCGGTTTCACACACGATCACAGCGGTCGCGGGATGATCCTGGCGTGGTCAAGTGGGGATTCGGGTGGTCAGAGTCGCTCACTTTTCCCACTCATGGGATGACAATGGACATTACCGTGTAGAGAGGGCGAGAATAAGAGGTTGTAAATAACTTACTTTCATCCAGGTACTGCGTGTGCTAACAAGTTCGGGGCGCTCACGTGCTATGAGAGAGAGAGCCACAGCAGCGTGGTTGGTGTCAGTTGAAGCACTTTGAGCACAGCTCGCCAAGCGGCTAGAGGTGTGTCTCTTCGCAAAATTGTGCTTTTAATGATGAACACATGTTGGAAACTGTCGAGATTACCTTCTACGTTGTCTGGCTGCGGGCTACAGTTGAGCTAGAGTCGTTTATCTTGCCAACACGTTCACTGAGACAGCTGGAAACCAGTTGAGTCTGACAACTGATTCCCATCCCAGTATAAACTCCACCAAACATACAGGCTAGCAATGCATAAATTTTCTGTATAGCGCGCTTATTCTGCACTACCGCGTAAATTGCTGAGTGCGCTCAGTAGCTGCGCCTGTGTTCTAAGTGTCTGTCGATCCGGTCTCGCACGACTCATACTCTGCCACAAGCGTCTCAACAGCTTCTTGACAGTCCGAAAACTCGGATGAGTTCTAACGGCCGCAGTTGTAATTGTTGCAACATCTGAGCATAGAAAACTTACCGAAAACATATCAAAACGCTCGTACTGATCAAGAAACGCTCTACGCCTTATAAGCTTCTCGTACTGCTCCAAGCTCCTCGAAAACCAGTGACGAACGCTGTAAAATAATTTTAGAAAGTGACGGAAGGAAAAATGAGGTCTCACCTCGTGTGATTCGCCAGCAGCAGACCATGTAAACTTGTCGACTTAGGTATGTACGGTGAGAACTTCACTACGGCCACTTGATAGTTCGCTGGAGCCCAGTCAACAAAATTCGCAAGCTTTCGCTCTCTTATGCGCTGCAAGCTTTTGTGAATCTGTCGAGTTGTGAGTTCATCGTTTTCAAAGTGCGGATGACCCCCACCTGAACCGGCTCAATGTTCCCTCTGATGATGTTTAGAATCGACACGAACTTCCCCTAAACATGGAATCATTTTCGCGAGGAAAGAAAGATAACGGAACAGCAACCTCTTGAGCACGTGCCCCAGAGTATGTGGAGCACATCACATTTTTGCTTTGTAGGAGTTTCCGCATCATATCCAATGCTGACGTTTTCGTCGCACTGTGTACGACAGGTTATATATCCATGAATTAAGTAATATGCCCAAGCTACCTCGTCCTGATCCCCGCATCCTCTGCAAGCGGTGTGAGTCCCGCCATCAGGAAATTACACCGCGGTACTGGAATGAGAGCCTAATATTTGTTGAGAGAAGTCGACAGTATGCGTTCAGAACCAACGCACGGCAATAAGACCAACTAAATCATTATTCATATACCCAGGGTATCTTAACGTCGTAGTACTTGCGGCCATAACCTTGGATACAAGACAGTTTGTGTGTGAAAAAGTAGGTGAGGTGATGTTTAGATGATCCACCGCTATACGGTTGAGCGCTGAGTTGTCCAAAACGACGACACAGTCTGCGTAATTTGCCAAACGTTTTAATGTCAAAATGGAGTTATACGGCTGCACGACAACATCTTTTGCGGTTGTGAGTTGAATCTTTCACAATAAAATAACATACCACTCGACTCGTTCTGGTTCGGGAAAACACTGAAGTTTTGTAGAAGTTTCTTCCCGTAACGATCGCTAAGTGCCTGCACAGTATATGTTAAAATCTTGGTTATCATCCATCATCGAACTAGCTCTTACTTCTAATAGATAGGAGCCCATCCCAGAGCCAGTACCGCCTGCGATCGAGTGGCACAAAACAAAGCCCTCAAGGCTATCGCTACCATCGGCCTCCCTGTCGATCATCTCTATCAGCTCTTCCTAGCAAAATAATTAAACACATGGCGATCTTTCAAGCTGTTGATATCGCACCTGAACAGCCTCCGCTTGTGTATACCCGTTCGCCCAGTTATTCCCTGCTCCTCCACCGTGTGGAGCAACGAAAAAGTTTTCATAGTTATATAGTGAACGTTGTGCAGAGTTTTGAATCGAATTGATCACGCGCGGTTCTAGATCCAACAGCTTGTTCGATGTGAGACCAGTCGTGAGGAGGTGAGAACAACGTACCAGCACTCTTGGAACATACCGGTCATCATCTGCCTGATAGAAGAACACGTCCTTTCGATCTGAAACTGCTGTTGACGGTACGTTTTCGGCGTGAAAAGTACCATCCATTCGTATGCCGTGTTCAATGCACAGCTTTCGTAACAGGTCAGTAGCGCCAAATGCAATATCGCTAACGTACCTGCTTCCAGAACTCTGTTCCTACTTGATTACCGCATTGGCCTATCTGTACAGTAATTATTTCTCTGAAGTCGAGTTTAGCTGTGCGCGTGGAAGCCTCAGGTGATTCGTACCTCGGCATAGCTTGCTACACCGTCGATGGGAGAAAGCGAACACGATACGGCGCTGGCAGGTTTGAGCGGAGACCGAGGCAGCGCAGAGTCAACCGTCTCAACGGGCGCGATCGTAGGCCTGCTTGGCTTGATACGTACTGATACCGTATCAGCGTATCAACGTATCAGACTTTTTGTATGGGCAAACAGTATGGAATCACCGATTTTTGATACGTATCAGGAAATTCCTGATACATGTCACTTTTGAGCTCTCAATATGTGAGGTTGCGCTCTGTGACGCCACAGCGGCGCGACGCTGCGCCCAAACGGCGTGAAAATAGCACAAAGAAGAGACGAACGACGCGCGCGCGGGCGAGGGGGTGCGGCCGGGGTTTAGGCGTTGGCGGGTTCGCGCGAGTTTGAATTTGAATTCTCACGGCTGAGCACTCGCGCACGTACTTGCGCGCGGTAGTCGTCGACGCTCGATGTCAAGCGCGCGCGAAGCGGGCGTCGACGAAGCGGGCGTCGCGGTGATGAGCGAAGACGGCGAAGCGGAAAACGGCGCGCGCAGCGCGCGCTGCGCGATGATCAGGCGAAATTCGATGATGCATGGAACAAGAGGAAGCGGGTGCTCAAGAAGCTTCCCTTCCTCGAGCGCTTGACAACGTCGAAGAGGGAGGAAGAGCCACGTATCAGCCCCGCGAAGCATACATTTGACATCAGAGACGTGTGCGAGGTAGAAGGAAGTGAAGTAGCCGTCGGTGCCGTGGTACGTGCTGACAGCGATACGCTTAAGTATATATCGGTCGCATATTTAATTTTAACCTATAATAAGCTTTTATTCCGCTTTTTTGCAGAATAAGAATGGCCTTATTCTTATTCTTATTCTGCAAAGCTCAGCGGAATAGTCAGTGGTCGTGACTCGCGTTTCTCTCGTGTACCCCCTCGCCGGGTGGTTAGAGCCCCAAAAAGAGGTCCATTCACGACTCGTCGTGTGCGCCGTGTCAAAATCCAGAAACTACTACGGCCCTAATTTTGAAACTGAATGGTCACCCCAGAAGAGCGCGGTCATGACCCGGTTCTGAGCATTCTACTTCAGTCCACGTTATACCGGCGCTGAACTAGAACAGGGAGCGAAGTAGAATTAGAAATGCAGTTAGACGCAACGCATTCAATGGTCGCGAAGGATAGAATATGCTACTACTACGATGAGGAAGTTGGCAGAAACTACTACGGCCCGAACCATCCCATGAAGCCACACCGTCTCTGCATGACGCATAACTTGATTCTAGCATACGATCTCCACAAGCACTTGCAAGTTTATCGGCCGAGAGAGAGTACAAACGAGGAGTTCACGCAGTTTCACAGTGAAGACTACATCGCCTTCTTATCAAAAATAACCCCCGATAAGCAGCAGCAGCACGTACTCGAAATGCAGAGATTCAACCTGGGAGAGGATTGCCCTATTTTCGATCACATGTTAGATTTTTGTCGACGATACACTGGGGGTTCTGTCGACGGCGCACGACGATTGAACCAAGGGCTTTCAGATGTCGCCATTAACTGGTCCGGTGGTCTGCATCACGCAAAGAAGTCCGAGGCTTCTGGGTTTTGTTACGTCAACGATCTCGTCCTAGCGATACTCGAACTTTTGAAGCACCATGCAAGAGTTCTTTACATCGATATAGATATTCACCACGGAGATGGTGTTGAGGAAGCTTTCTACGTGACGGATCGTGTGATGACGGTCAGTTTTCACAAGTATGGAGACATGTTCTTCCCCGGTACAGGAGGCCTCCGAGACATAGGCATTAACTCTGGTAAATATTATAGTGTGAACGTGCCGTTGAATGATGGCATTGATGACAAGATCTTCGTGGACCTGTTCAAGTTTGTCGTGCAGGATGTGATGGATGTTTTCCAGCCAGGTGCAATCGTCCTGCAGTGCGGTGCCGATTCGTTGGCAGGTGATAGAATCGGTTGTTTCAATATTTCCTTGAAAGGACACGCTGAGTGTGTGTCGTTCGTGAATAGTTTTAAAAAACCCATGCTAGTTACAGGCGGAGGAGGCTACACAAAGTCAAATGTTGCACGATGTTGGGCCAATGAGACCGCCACTTTATTAGGTCGAAAGCTGGCAGAAGATATACCGTATCACGAGAATTACTACGAATACTATGCCGATGTAGCTTACAAGTTAAGAGCTTATGCGCCCGTTTGGATCGAGAACCTAAACACACCATCCTACATAACGCAGCTGAAGGCACAAGTCAGAGAAAATTTGAGATCGCTCACACATGCGCCAAGTGTTTCTTTCACGGAGTCACCTTCCGCAGAACTAGTGCCAGAGCTAGACGAGAATGATTTGAATCCAGACGAAAGATATGGTGGGTACTTAGGCCGAGATGACGCTGTGATACATGGGACAGACTTTTACGACTAGAGACCCAGGTTGGGCTCAGCAGCTGAACACGACTGCCACATCAAATTTATCCCAAGATGAGGTGCCTGCGCCTTCAGGAGACACATCCAATGTAGTGCGAAGGTGATATCCGTCGAAGAGAGTCTCAAATGAGAACTCATTTGTATTCGTACCGTAGATCCGGTACTAGTAGTAGAGATCGGGTATTAAAAGTCACTACGTGTTACATTCGCTCGAAAGCGTGCCCTGCACTCATGCACGCGCCGTGCGCACGCGCCATGCGTATGGGGGGTCGATACAATTTCGGACGCCGTGTTTGAGCCCTTGAAACCCGGTAACGACGCGTGCACGGTCGTTCAGTGAATGCTTTAGTCGGGGGGAATGTAACACTTTGGGGAAATGTAAGGCTGAAAAAGAGACTGCTAAAACTCTAAAATTTGGGCAGATTTTGGCGAAATTTTTCGAATTTTAGAGTCCAGCCGAGCCGACTTTAAAATTCAATTAGGCCGGGGTGGAGATAGACGATCATAACGAAATTTCGTCGAGATTTTCGAAAAACACGAAATTTTGCCACGGGGGGGATAAAATTTCGTCCAAAATTTCGCCTCAAATTTCACTTTTGCCGCTTTAGCTAGGCCAAATTGGGCAAATTTGGCCTCGCGCGAACGAAATTTTGCCTCGGGGCAAACTTTGAATGCAAGAGAGTAGGGAGGTCGATCGATGACAAGAAAAACATTCAGAAGCGACTCTTGTGGTGTTCAGTTACGTGGCGCCAGACTCCCCGTATCTCGATCCCGCTGTGTACAGGACGCTGAAGGAACGGGCGAGACCGGAGTTCGCGCTAAGACACGAAGACAGGTGCACTTCGGCTGCGAACACTGCCAGTCGGTTACAGCAGCGCACAGCGGCGGCGACAGCACGTCGCAAGTCGGTACATCCGATAACCATGGCGCCGGATAAGTCACCTACACGTGCTATGAGAGAAGAGGCGCTCGAGCGACAGGTCATCGAGGAATTGCGTCGTACCAACGATGTGCTCGAAATGATGATGCGCTTGTTCACCCAAAGTGAACTTCAACTTCCAGTGCGAACGGGTTCTGAGGCGCCTTCCTCTGCGCCGGCTCATGACGGCGAAACAATTGACCCCATTGGAGCCGAACATATGATTGACGCCGAGAACATCGGCGTTGCCTTCGCACACGGCGGTTATGAAGTTGGCGTTGGAGGAAATCAGAGCACTGACGCTGATGCGAGCGTCCCACCGGTGACAGCTGCCGAGATCACGCCGCTCGGTACCACTGACCCGAACGCTCTGTGTGAGGCGAGCGCAGCGTCGCCGGTTCGCAAACGTGCTCGAGAGAGACGTCCGTACTGCAGGTGAATTTGCCGACTCGCCGATCTACACGAGAACGTCACACTCCGCTACGCTTACAACGCCTGTCATGATGCCCTCTTCAACATGCACACTCGCGTTTTACCGTTACCAGCGGCGACCTCGACGTTCACAGTTTTGTTTTCTGTATTACATATTGTCATCATTATGATTCGGTCATCGTACACACTACTTACAGTTGCGCTATTTCATTGAGGACTTCGTGTTCCTTATCATTTCGCAGCGCTTCGAAATGATATTTGAAATGCGTCAGTGTAACATTTTTCAAGAAAGTAAAAAGTTGAACTTTGACGAAGCATAGCGGACGAACGCGCGCACGAAATAGTTAGAACGTCGGGATTCTGTCAGAGGACGTTTCGATCTTTTGAACGCGACATTCGTATCTGCAAACGATGCAGTAGACGCGCGTCGACGAGCCGACGAAATTAAGTGACACATGTTTTCAACCACTATTGCCGGATCAACGGTACCGTTACTTGTATGAAGAAGAGATTTAGATATTGCTGCTAAAATAAGTGAGTCTTTCGGGCGACTTTGAAATGATGAGCACAATCATTGTGTGCTGCAACACTTAGACTTTGGCCGAAAACCATCCTCTGCAGCAGAAATGAGTATACTTCTATTCTGTTTGTTTGAAGTTTCTTCTGCGTTTACTGCTTGATTCTAGTCGACGTACTATCATGATCCAATGGCAAGAAGAACAGGAAAATGTACATACCTTCGAAACAACATTGTACACATTCGATAGAGCGTTGATAAATGCCGTTTCGACGTTCGTAGCATCAAGAGCAGATGTTTCTATGAATATAAGATCTGCGTGTGTATAGTCTAAGCTTCGTTCGAAATAAAATACATATAAACTCCACCTTCTGTATCCGCAAATTGTTGCGCCTTCACGGCCTGTATGACCCTCAACTGTGCAAGATCGCACTTATTACCGACCAACATTATGACTATATTTGCGTCGGCGTGATCTCGCAACTCACTCAACCACTTCTCAACGTTACCGAATGTGTCTGCAACAATACTGAATAGAAGTCTGAGGTTTGCCGACGCATATGCGCACCTTTATTCGTAACATCATATACAAGTAAAGCTCCGACTGCACCCCTGTAGTATGCACTGGTTATTGCACGATAGCGCTCTTGTCCTGCAGTATCCCATATTTGTGCTTTGATTATTTTATTTTGTATCTAAAGGCCGAATCTTTCAAGCTAGTAATGCGATTCTCATGAATATTCTTCGTACCTCGATAGTTCTAGTTGCGAATTCGACTCCGATTGTAGACTTGGACTCGAGACAAAACTCATTCCTTGTGAATCTTGAGAGTAAGTTGGACTTTCCCACGCCGGAATCGCCAACTAGAACAACTTTGAAAAGGTAATCATAACTGCATGTGTAAAGATCACACGTGAATTGAAATAGCCCTGTTCTACTCACTCATCGGCTTCAGCGGACATCGCTACTGTTCAGTTAAACTAGTCGGTCGGTTAGTTTCGGCAAGTTTTCGACGTTCACGGTTTTAAACGAGTATTGGAAAGTCTTCTTGACTGCGCGAAGTCGCACAGTCTTAAATGCAGACGCCTTCGACTGACAGACCCTCGGTTCGGAGAGGGAGAGTGTGAACGTTTGGTCACGTCGGTCGCGCTGAGTTATCACGGCTGTATTTCCTCGGTAGGGGTGCACGGCCTGGTTCACGCTGGTACCACACAAAATTGATCGATAGGCGGCTGTCCTTGTCAAAATGCTCAGTCCCGGGGGTCGACCTTGACCCCTATTCCGGTACCTCCCAAGCGTATTCGACCAGCCCGCGGCTTAAAAATGCTTAAAAATGCCTGGGTTAGGGTTAGTAGTAATCTCTTTTTCAGCCTTAAGCTCTGTACCAGCCCCCATACACGCCTAGTCGCGTACGCAGACGACCCGCGGAGTCTCGCACCGTCGGCGACAACGTGACCGAGCAGAACGATCGTTAACCTTCGCACGGGGTGCGTTCATCTCTATCTGTTCAAGTTGTGTTGCTCCTTGACACGGTCACAGCTTCCTTCAAGAGCTCATGGCCCAGTCACACGGTGACTTGGATACTCGCGAGCAGGATCGATTCCTCCCCGTAGCGAATATCAGTAGGATTATGAAAAAAGCGCTGCCGGCGAACGCCAAAGTTGCCAAAGACTCAAAGGAAACGGTCCAGGAGTGCGTTTCTGAGTTCATCAGTTTTGTTACTAGCGAGTACGTTCACTTTCCTGTCAGTGGTTCCCAAACTGATACACAACCAGGGCGAGTGATAAATGCCAACGTGAGAAGCGAAAAACTATTAACGGCGATGATCTACTGTGGGCGATGAGCACCCTTGGGTTCGAAGACTACATCCAGCCACTAAAATTATACCTACATGGATACAGACGCGTACGTTTGACAAAAGCGTAGTATTTTTTGTACTAATAAACCGTATTTCAAGGTGATGAATGAGGATGCGAAATGAAGTGCCGTTTCGATAGCCACTCAAGAACATATAAAGCATATGATCTACCTAGAGTTGGTCTAAGTAAACTTGTACTTCTTCAGGGCTTTTCGAAACATATAGATTTGATTCCACTGTGGCCAACTCGCATGCCTCCGAGGTCAACTCTTCGGAGTCCACGTTTGATTCGCTCAGTGCTCGCAGAGCGATATGTATTACCTGTATTCCGCGTTATGAGAGTAGTATCGTCATGTGAGGTGACAAAGTACCTTGTTGACAGTGGCTACTTTAAGCTCATCCAGGTGTTTCTCCAAGTGAGTTCTTGCTGACTGAGATCTCGCTCCTGATAATACACTTTAGAAAATTGTCCAACAAACATCTCTTTTGTACTGACCAATAGCCGTGCACCACATTTGGCAGACGTCTCCACTCGGACATGTTTGCAAGATCTGGCACCCGGTATCTTCACTCGAGCCGACTATAACGAGGCCAACGCCGCATGGGCGCCCGGCAGATTCGCGTGTTGAAATCTAGAACAGAGGTGAAACTTGAACAATGATAGCACTCCGCATAAATCACCTGCAATGATTTCGAAACTAACGAAGCGAGCTTGCTTGGGCTTGCAACGCGCCCAAAGACAAACTCCTCGCGGACACTCTCCTCGCGCAGCAACTTCACTAATGTTGCACTATCAGTTGAAAGTCCGGATACAGCAACTCCAACTCGCTCATTCACGCCAAACAATTTTCCTTGCATTGACGACAACTTTGACTGTTTACGTTTCAAAGCAGCTAACACAACACAGTTTTGATTCTGTTGTCGTTCAGTTTCAGAAGTACTGACAAACTGCGAAAACTTACCCCACACGCTACGACAGTACTGCCTTGTTTAACGGCTTCCATCGCATCTATTTTCAGTTAAGAAAATCATATATCGAGCCACGTGAAGCACGCACATTCCACCTGGTGCAAACGCCCTTGAGGACTCCAGGTCAACATGTCCTGCACGAGAAAGTAAACAAATTTGATCACAAACTGTCTTCAGGTACCGATTGCAAGCGTCGAACGTACCTGATCGTATTGATTGCGAAACATCTTGTCGCAGCAGTAGAGCACCGGATCTTGTCTAGTCACGAACTCGCAGCGCGAGCTTTCCTCTGGTAGCAGACTTAGCACTCTCGACTAGTGTAGAAGAACTCAAGTCTAGGCCTGCTGCACCTGGTACACGCTGGTCCGTACCAGCGTACCAGTGTACCAGACATTTTGTATGGACAAACAGTCTTGTACCAGACGATTTTGGTACGGCTGAGGCTGAAAGGGAGATTGCTAAAATTCTCTAATTTTGGGGCCATTTTTTAGCTTGCTTGAAAAAGTGAAAGGGAGATTGCTAAAATAAGAACAGAAGACTATCGGCGCTCGACGATGGACGCGCGCGAGAAACGGCGCTCGCTCGCTTGATGGAAGCCGCGGACCCTGCGCCGGGAAGTCTCATTTACCCTACGCTTTTAAAGAGACCCCATTTGCCCTACGAAGAGTCTCATTTTCCCTACGACATCGTAGGGTAAATGAGACTTTCCGCGGCGGAAGAGTCTCATTTACACTACGCGTGTTGCGTCGACGACGGCAAGGTGAAGAGCGCATCGTCGACGCTCGCACAGCGACGGAGAGCACTCGAACCATGATGACGCGAACATCATCCACGCGATCGGACGGTGTCGCCGACGATTTCGCCGCGGAGTCGTCGGAACAGTCGAGTCCCCTCGCTGATCTCACGAATGCCATCTCTCAAACGACTCGCGTTATTGGTACGCGAACGTGAAGGATCCATTACACGTGTACTATGATGAACTTGAATTGGACACATCTATTTGGTGCTTAAGCGGCTAGTTGTCCTATCACATTCTGAACTTCCATATGTGCTTCTACTTAGCGCGCCGCTTTGTCAATATGACATTCATGACACGTTCTCCTGTGACGCGAAAAACGTGAGTAACTCGCTATGGTCTTCGCCGACGCCAACCGGATGTACACCTTTTTAGGCTCACATTCCAGACAACCCCGTTTTACCCGCTTTTACCCCACTTATTCCTTGAGTCATAACTCGTCAATCGACTTCCGTGATCGGGCAGGAGGCAGAGCTGCGCGCAGAAACTACTATGCCGTCGTCGTGCTGGTGCACTGATCGATGCGAAACTTTGTTGAATGGTGCATGGCATTGTTTTACGCCTACAGACCTAATTTCAGAGCAATGCGCTACGCCGTGTCGACACGGCGTGCGTTTTTATGAACAGTCTCATTTACACTAAGATAAACGTAGGTCTCTTTAAAAACGTAGGGAAAATGAGACTCACCCTTTGACGCCGCCGCCCCTGAATCGCGTGTTTGTAGCACCTTAAAAACACCCGCGTGTGCGGGCGCCCACCACTAATCTCTTGCGCAAGACGCCCCAAAACAGCTGCAATTTGCACCTGCAATTTTGCTCTTGCATCTTGCAGGTAAAATTTCCCCCACCCCTATCGCAGCTCGCGTTCTGGAGGAAGTACGCTGCCTAGTTCACCGTCAACACATATCCTACCCGTTCGACGTAGTTGCTCGAATACGAACGACGGTTCGATTACAGCAACGAGCCGTCGCCTGACTGATACAGTGTGTTTTCAGTTTCAGGCCCAGACAGTGGGGACGTTGGCTGAACGGCTCCTGCCAGCCACTACATAAATCTCGAGTTTGATACCGTAGTGTATGTCTTCACTTCTGCCAGCCCCCTTTCATTCGATCCCGAGAATTCACTACGAACCGACTGTATTGCGAATGCCTGGAGACTGCTTCAACAAACGGATGCCTCGGATTCTTCGTCTATCAACTTTCACAATATTGAAGATTTTTGCACCAGGTAGAGTTTTCATCATGTTATGTTTGAGCTATCTCATCGTCACCAAGTGCCTTTCAAAATCCTTTTGTGTAACGAGTTACTGCAGCTGGCGTACTCGTCGCTATGGAAGTCACGCTCAGTAAATGGCCTGAAATCCCAGAAAACAGACAGCAAACTGCTACCACTCTTCAGAAGTTCGATTTGCACATCATCTTCGTGCGAAATGTTGCAACTTCAGCTTAAGACGGAGGTGTGTCGAAGTCTACAAATCCAGCCAGTTGAACTCAGCGCGGAGCTAACAGGGACTAGTTATGTTTACTCGAATTTTCTTCCCAGGGACGTTTCGAGCGATGAAATTTTACCGCTTTACAATCAAGCTCAGCTGCGGTTATGCGAAGGCGATGATATGGTACTGTTGGTTTTTCACCTCCTTCCACCCAAACCCAAGTTCACTCTTGTACAACCTTAGGGACAGTTGGTATACCAAGAGTGAAATGGAAGCTGCTGTGCGATGGTCCAACCCTTTACTTTCTCTTCTGATGGAATCCTAGCAATTATGGAGTTCTGTTCACCGCTGGGGGGCGGAGCTCACGAAAAGAGCGGTGCTAGATCTATCAGGTTTTTATGCAAAGGTGGGCAGTGATATCCTCTGTCAAATTACGCTTCACAAACACAATTTGTGCAGGTGGCGCAAGTTTTTGCGACGAAAGCAGACTTGCTTCCAAGAGAGTACACTCAAGCTCTCAGCTGCATTTTAGATAAATGTGTGCCGATGTCTATTTTTGAAGTCGAGAGAATAATAGAACTGGGTCTGAAGGCTCCGCTAAACCATATATTTAGATATTTTGAAGCACGGCCTGTTGGCGCAGCGACAATCGGACAAGTACACGAGGCTATCACTTTTGACGGGCAACGTGTCGCTGTAAAAGTGCAAAATGTTCGTAACAAAAAGCTGATGAAGTTTGATTTACGCAACATGCTCTTTGTTTCCAAGATGATGGACAAGTTGAATATCTTCCTACCTTTTGATCACACAAGTATTCTATTAGAATATTCCTCTCAGGTACGACGGGGATTGACGATATATGAAATATTATATTGATTTGTGGAGATAGGTACCTCTTGAGTTTGACTTCGACAGGGAACAACGCATGATGGGCGTCCTAGGAGAGTCTATTTGTAAAAACAGTAAGGTCATGGTTCCGAAGCCAATTGATGGGTTCTGTTCGTCACATGTTATTTCAATGACTTTTATGGAGGGACATTCACTTTCAGAGATAATATCGTCAGGTACTTGGACAAACTCCGCGAAGATTTTCATGCAACTGCAGAAAAGTTTGGCCCAACTTTTGGCCAGTTTTGGTTTCCAGATTCTCGAGTTGGGTATGTTTCATAGTGATCCTCACCCAGGCAATATACTGTATAATTTCGAGCAAATCGGTTTGATCGATTTTGGCCAAGTAAAAATATTGCCTGACAAGACGCGCGCCCTGTTCGCGCACTTGGTTCTATGTATGAATGAGGAATCAGACCATCTTTATGAAATATTGAAAGAGCTGCAGATAGAGTTCACAACATCGGATAAAAACTTGATAAGAACGATCGCATTCATATTATTCGATACCCGAATGGACATTCCAGAGGCGAAATTATCGCCACTCGACAGTGAATTTCCACCAGAGCTACGTGGTGTGCGCATCAGTTCCATTCATACAGATGTATTCATGCTAATTCGTGTCATTGCGATTTTTCGTGGCATCTTTGCCGCGTTGAATATCGATTTGCACGCTAGGAAAATTTGGGCTGAAAGTGCACGGCGTGCGGTGTGCAGTTCGACATATAGGTATACTTTCACTCGGACGGCACCAGCACTGACTAGTGGCGGAACTTTTGAGCGACTAAAGATCTTAAGTGGTTGGCTGGCCGATCGTAAGTTGCCCAGTGAACGAGAACATATTTTGTCGTTCGCTCAGGCCAAGTTGTTTTCACTCGACGACCTCAAAAGAGCTGTCAAGCGAGAAGACAAGAAAGCTTTGATGATTGCTTTTGTACACTTTTCTCGCGAAGATCGGCTTCGCTGTATAGAATATCTGTCCGAATGACGCAAATAATAGTCAAAACGTCCGACCTCTCGATACTAACTCAACACGCCTACACTAGAATTCACGAAGATCCATACAATGTGTCTTTGAATTTCTCCTCATTTGCTGTCACTCACGCTCACGAAAGCGGCGATCGGCGACCAACGATAGTGTAAACTACACTGTGTAACTGCAGGCTGACTTGCGTAACTGGTAGTGGTACTTCATTCCGTACCGTTGGAAGAAGCGCGGTGTTGCTAAGAGTGCACCACCAGGGGAAGTCTTGCAGACGTTTATGTCCGCAGAACTAGTCTCGTCGGGGATTCGAACTAATCCTTGACCTGACTGTTTCGGAGGTACAACTTTGCAAGTGACGGTTAATAAAGAGATGCCCGTGACACCACCAGCGAAATACTGGCGGCAACGCTACGATCTGTTCGAAGAATGGGAGAACGGAATTTTCGCCGACTTCGAAGCTTGGTATTCGACCACACCCGTTCTAGTAGCCCGTCACCAAGCGGTTGAGTGTATCCGAAAACGTAAGTGGCAGAACGCAAAGCCCAAAAGGGTGGTGGTATTAGACGCGTTCTGTGGTGTTGGTGGCAACACGATCGCGTTCGCCAAAGCTGGTTTCTTCGTGATAGCGTGCGACATAGATAGCGAAAAAATAAAAATGGTATGCTTGACCGACTCTATTCCTGTTGTTGCTAATCCATGCTCTAGGCAAAATGCAATTCGACAGTGGCCAAGGTGGACCACAGAATTGAGTTTATTTGCTGCGACTACCTAGAAATGTCGAGTAGTGCGCGAATTGACTACATTTTCCTATCTCCGCCGTGGGGAGGGCCTTCGTATACGACCATGCCACGATACACTCTATCAAAAGTGGAAATATGTGGAGTCTTCGGTACCGAGCTTATATCAAGGTCACTACTAACGACAAAAGATGTTATCTGCTTTCTTCCGCAAACTTCCGACTTAGATGATATATCAGAACGCTGTAAATCGATATTCAAGGTGCGGGCAAAGACTATAAAGAGGAACATTGACTCTCACCACATCAGTAGACAGAACTTCATTATGTGTCGACTGCTCAGCGTATCAAGGCAGTCACGCTTTATTTTGCGCAACAGACGCTCATAAGGTAACGACAACGATTTCAGGGTGTAGGTTACAAGATGTTCAGCTCAGTTTTGCATATGGACTCAAAGTCATGCTTGAAACGGTACTGTAAGCTATGACCGTCCCTCATGTTTAACCATCTTTGAGACACGTAGTCGTATCTCAGTGGGCCAGAAACTGGAGAGGCCAACCATATTTGCTTGTTAGGCGTTTGCTTATTTAGCACAAAAGTCCCACTCTTTCCGCACTCAACCATCAATACACCATTTTCAAGGGAGACATCAACTTCAAGATCAGTACTTTCTACTAACGCCTCAACGCAATCAAGAATATGCTGCAAGGTACAGTCGGCTGCGTCATGAAAAGCATGGTCTGTCAGGGCCGGCGCAGTCGCAGTTTTCCAGCTTGTGGAGCGTTTCTTGAACAAGACGTGTCGAAGTTCCACAGTTTGTGTTGTATACTCGTGTAATAGGAGAGGAGCACGATGGCTTTGGCACGCAAAACGCAAGCAACGCCGGAGCTGTGATAAGCGGACAACCTTTGTCCTCACAGTAACGAACATGCTGGCTCTGCGCGGGCCTTCAAACTTCAAACTTTAAAGCTACCTATTAACAGCTCGTTAACGCCTCCGTCAGCATCCTTAGGGCACGTGTCAGGTTATACGTGCACAGCACGATGGGCGCGCGAAAGTGGCGACGCCGGTTAAATTCACCAAATTTCCGAACGGAAAAGGTGTATTGGCCGTACTTTTTGTACTCCAAAAAGCGCTGCGCCGCAAAGCTTTCCTTGGATTTGGACGACGCAAACGATCCGGTGGCGCGCACTTTGGACTACGAAGGTCTGCAAGTCTCACTCCCTTCTTCTCTCCCAGGACCAATTTATGTTGCAAAAGTTGCGACCCCGTCGATTTACCCTGAGTTGTAACTCAAGAAAAAAAACGCGAAAAAAAGACCCCTCCACGAATTCACTAGTCACGAATCGTGCCATCACTTTCCGAATGATGGGGTAATCGCCGGGCTAAAACGAAGCATGTGTGAAGTTTTCCATACAATGGAGGAAAGTGAAATTGGACTTCACATACAGAGCTCTGGGACACCTGAAAGCTCGACGACGCACATACGCGAAGATCACGCCCGTCGACGCACTATTCGCACGCGGTGGATACATCCCCACCAACTCGTCGATCCCGACGATATGGTCATGTCAACGGCTCACATACTGCATCACGGTCGAGACGGCTCGCAGCAGTGTGCTCGGAAGTCCAAAGTGACCGGGCGCCGCCCAGTTTCGGTACGCTGCCCCTTGAATCAAGACACGTTGCTCACACCATTTCAGAACATGTCCGCCGTGAGCAGACGCGATTTGAACTGTATCACTCTGACAGGTCTTCTCACGACACTCACGACACTTCCTGTCAACGCCTTCGAGGTATGACTTACACGTCTTTCCGCTGCCCCCACTGAAAGGCGACTCAGGATGGAAAGCAGGTAATATGCAAGTAAAACTCGACATATTTGACAGTAACTCATGAAAACACGTAGGTCGGCGCATATTTACCCCCTTCTGAAGACGTGGTAAGCCAAGAAGCATCACATTGCAAGTTACTTTGACACCCTGTCTCCAGTCAGGATATTTCATGTTTGAGGCTGGAAAAACTCGCACGCCAGCTTTAAGGTTGTCAAATTTTCACTGGCGTTTAATTTTTCTTACGGCGACGTTTTCATAGGGCGGGAGCGATAGAACCTTACAAAATATCGTTGCCCAGAAACTGGGAGGAGGTATGTGCACTCTTCAAGTGGTGAAGATTGCCGTAAATATGCAATAGATTCCTGTGAGTAATGCGAAAAGTGGCAACTACTGTCAGCCTAGATGTGATGAGGTTAGTTTTAAACTTGTATGATAACGAAGACGGATCTCATCGGCGATAGGCGACCACTGAGGTGCAGTTCGCAAGCTCGAACGCAGGAACGCTTCAAGTCATAATCATTCCAACAAACAAGTTACTCATCACCGAAAAATCGCCAACAATCGAAAAAGTTGGTTCACTGGCCAGCGTTTTGAACGCTGTTTCACCAGCTATTACGGGCAGGTGCGTTCGACGTTTCCTTCAGACTATTTTCAAACGTTTTGCACAGTGTTGCGGTTGAACAAGAAGAAATTATTTCTTCGCAGCAATACACCATCGAAGGTCGTGGATACTATCAGGTGACGTAAAGCAATCCAGTGAAATAATCACTGACCGTTTTCGCCCGTGCTTTCTCCGAATTAGTATGAGCTTGAGACTCCTTTTGCTGCGTACGGTTTACACAACACTGCATGTGTCACCACCAGTCAGGTACGCGTCCGTGTACACAAGAACCCCTATCCTTGAACTCAGTACCCCAGAACTACGTGGTCATTGCATCTGTAGCAGCTGATGAGAAACAGTGGGCTACATCAGCCAAGGTTCCTTCGTTTACGCTCACTTCTATCTCTCACTGACCCGTCCTGCAGGAAGTACGAAAGGTTGTTGATTCTTTTCGAGTGCTCAGTGCCAATTAGAATCCGTCTTCCGTCCTCTAGCGAAGTTGTTGAATTACAAAAGCCAACGCAAAAGTTGCAAACACGCTTTTCTGCGCGCTTCAAAAGTAGAATACTACTACATTTATCGGAGTAAATTTCGAGACAGTTGCTCACGGGCCGAAGCTAGAGCCTGTGAAATCGTTTGCTCTGTCAACGAATGCTCTATACAATCTTCTGACATCGCTACACGGCTCGAAATCGTGTTTGGATCTGTTTCCAATATGAGACCCCCGTCGATGAGCTCGTCTATCACGAGCAACACTAGATCAAGGTTTTCTAGTGCAGACTGCTTATCCACTAGTCCTCGTAACAAATTATGCAGTGAATCATAGAGCGTTTCGAGTATTGACACAATTATCAGCTCATTCTCCGATTGGCTCGCAATCATGTAGAATCGTAAGTCATGGCTAGATTTGTGGACTGCTATGTGGTTGTCGAGAACAAGTAGCTCTACGTCACCGTTGCAGCTCAAGTGGGTGGACCGTTTACACAAGTTCCGCTCGAACTGAAATTGAGCATCTCGTGGTAATCTGCTGAAAAACTCAATCACGCTAAAAACTTAACTCGCCAGCGCTACCTGAAAGAATCGTAATACTTGACAGCAACCCTCTTGCCGTCTTCGTCCAAGATCACGATGCCCTGCACACTCGGAATACTCATTGCTCGGGTCACTTGAATCTCAGTAAAAGTGATTGCAGCGACAGTGGTCGCGTCCGCGCGGTGAGTCCACTGCAGCGTGCAAGCTACAAGGTTGCGAGACGATCGCTGACGCGTACAGCCGCCCGACGATGCGACTTTCGTGTTTTAAACACCGGCCCGTGCAGGCAAGGTCCATAATTGAGAATTTCAAACTTTCAATTTAGCGAAATTTGTTAGGATTATTGCAGGCTAAATACAGTTATTGTCACCATGCCCGAAGAGTGTAACTCGAGGGTCGGTGACCCTCCCGCGGTATATGGATTTTGACACGGCGCACACGACGAGTCGTGAATCGACCTCTTTTGGGGGCTCTAAAATCCCGGCGAGGGGGTACGCGAGAGAAACGCGAGTCACGACGTTACGACCCGTCGAAGACCCCTCGTTGGCGCGACGAGTCGCGATGCGTTTGGGACCTGATTTTCTGGACCCGCGCGCGACGACGGCGCGAGCGCGATTCGTCACCTCCGTACCAGCTGGTACGAGCTGGTACGGAGGTGACGAATCGACGAGAATCGCGCGAGAACCGACGCACTTCGCGCGCTACGTCTATCTATCGATTCAATCTTCTATGTTTACTACGTGTCTCTTTCTCTTGACGCTCTAATACCTTGCGGGCTGCCTTCTGTGCAAAAGTTACATTTGCCTTGTCCCGAGCGGGACGTGAGTCATCACCCTGTACCTGCATGTTTTCATCGAGGTTACCTACACACGTCATTTCCGTTCGATTCAAAACCTTTGCGTGTGGGGACATGACCCGCTCGTCTGTGTCTTTGACGTACTGGTCCACATGCTCGTCACCTGACGAGAGGATTTCGTCGTCTCTGATTCCATCATCAACACCATTGCTGTCAGCACCTACCACGGCACCGACGGCTACTCCACTTTCTTCTACCTCGCACGTCTCTGATGTCGACTGTGTGCTTCGTCATCGCTCCTCGGCGCGGCGCCCGCTTCGTCGACGGGCGTCATCGAGCGTCGACAGCTGGCGTTTGCTAATACATCATCTATTCAAATTTCAAACACGTCGCGCCTAAACCCGCGCTGCTAAATCCCGGTCGCACCCTCGCGTTCGCGCGCGCCTCGCTCGTCTCGTGTGTCGCGCTCTTGGTCGTTTTCACGCGCCAGAGCCTCGCTGACGAGTCATAAATCTCGATTTCCCACCACGACGGGCTCAAAAGTGACCTGTACCAGGAATTTCCTGGTACGTACCAAAATCGTCTGGTACAACACTGTTTGCTCATACAAAATACCTGGTACACCGGTACGCTGGTACGGTACCAGCGTGTACCAGGTGCAGCAGGCCTAACGCGCGCGGGAATCGGCCTCTTCACGGTTATTAAAAGCTGCGGGCGCGTAAACAAGGACGCATCGTACTACAGAGCGACGTGATCCCGCGCACAAGGAAAGTTCAGACATAACAGCTGCGTGGTTTCTTGGACACCTTTCGTACTTTTTCAAGGCGAATTCCCTGCAAGTTGCGCCGGGCGTTGAGCATATATCCTCATGGTAAGCACTTCTCATTTTGCGTCCTCGTTTATTTTCACGCGAACTAAAGGCGCCGGAGTGCAGAATGTATTCTGAAAGGTTTCCAGACATCGACCAGGTCGTGATGGTGCAGGTACAGAACCCAGCCCAGGTCAGTCACAGTCAACCCAGGTTAATCTCGCAAACATAGGTCAAGAGCATAGCCGAAATGGGCGCATATGTTCAATTACTGGAGTATGACAACATCGAGGGCATGATATTACTGTCAGAGCTCACCAGGAGGCGCATTCGATCGGTATCAAAACTCATCAAGGTACGCATCCACTTGCCAACTTTGGAACCGGATCAAATATTTGTCTAGGTCGGTCGTATCGAACCAGTTATGGTACTGCGCGTTGATGACGAGAAGGGCTACATCGATCTCTCAAAGAGGTACTGTTAATGTGGAACTTCGTATCCTTGTCGATCTAACTGTTGCTGTGCGGCAGACGGGTTTCGCCAGAAGACATTGAAGCGTGCGAAATCAAATACAATAAGAGCAAGGTAGTCCATTCTATTATCAGACATGTTTCCGAGACGACCGGTACTCTACCCGAACAATTGTATAAGGTGACATTTTAACCTCGAGAACGTGTATACACACACTGATCTTGTCAAAGTCATTTGGTTGGCCGTTTTACAGCAAGTATGGACATGCCTTTGATGCTTTCAAGATGTTTGTTACAGATCCGAGCTTACTGCACAAAGAGTTCGCTGAGCGAAGGATTTCTGCCACGACCGAACAAGACGAAGAAGCACTGAGTGAAGCTGTTGCATTTGCACTAACAAAGGACATCCAACGGCGCATGACACCACAGCCACTCAAAATACGTGCGGACGTTGAACTGACCTGTTTCGAATACAATGGGGTTTTAAGCATTAAAAGTGCTATGCGCTACGCCGAAAATATTTCAACAGAGGACTGTAAAGTGAAGATGTCTCTGGTAGCATCACCACTTTATGTGCTGTCAACTCAGTCTTCTGAACGAGAGTCGGGAATTTCGTTGGTCGACAATGCGATCGAAGTTTTGAGGGTGAGCTCAAATCTCATTCTGTGTTTGTCGTTTCATTATTAACTGCATGAAATATAGGAACACATCACCTCGAAGGGTGGAAAGTTGGTCGTGAAAGAAGGCGCAAGAGTGGTCAGCGAAAGAGATGACAAGCTTCTATCTGAACAAATGACAAATTCTCATAAGACTGAAAGTGAGAGCGGAAGCGATGATGACACCATGGGGAACATAGCTTTGTAATCCGTGCTCTGTCCGTTTGATTTCGGAGTTATAGCACTGTGCACAGTGTTCAAGTGTTCACATGAATACAATCGATTTCGTGAAAAACGGCATATGTCCATCCATCGAAGCTTTAGCTTAGAGCTGGTGACCTCTCATAAGTTTAATTCAAAATTGAAAGGAGATTCACGCTATGAGTCCTCCGGGACGTTCTCGACGGCGACGCGCGCTCGAGCGAGAGCACCGCTCGAAAACGACGCGCGCGCTGCGTCCGGGGCGTTCGCGTCGTGACGCTATGTGTTGTGTACGGGCCCGAGCGTCGTACTCAGCGCACGCTGCATCCCATCGAGCTCCATCGAGCGGCTTTCGTAAACTGACACGCGATGGGGAACCTGGAGGGGACTCAATCCGCGGCACAAAAATGCTCACCGTAGACGCGCGGTCGCGAAGTACAAAATTTGCGGATACATTTCGTAGGGTGAATCACATTGAGCACGGCGGCAGCGACTACTGTTGGAAATGCGCCGACGACTAACTCAGGTCGAAAGTTGTGGCCAACTCTGGGTTTCAAATTTTAACAGCTTAGAGCAGGAGATTTACGACGAGACTGTCGCCAACTATACCGAAAACTTTGATATGGATGCGTTAGAAGCTCGCGAATCAGCTTTGGAAGAGTTAAAACTCCAAGACTTCGACGTTTCGATGGTCTCGCAACCAAGCTGCTTCTCTAGGAATACAGTAGCACGCGAGCAGGCTCAACTCGTTTTATCCTCACTTCGAGCCATCTTAGAGATGGAAGAGAAACACACGGAAGAAAGCATGAAGGAAGGCGTGTTGAGCAGGCAACAAATTTTGGCGCTCATACTTGCAGCCCGTTCTTCTGCCACAGATCACGATGACGCTTTTCTACGTGTTATTGGACAAAGTGGAGCAAATAAACTTTTGCTGCAAATTTCCTGCAAGATAACTGAAGCAGCTCACCAGCGCGACTGGGCTTTTGAATGTTTGGAAGGTAAGTCGACCAAAAAAAATATCATTCTACATCTAAACTTGGCAACTTGTCCTTTGAAACAACAGCTTTGATGGTTGTTCCTGAGAACAGTCAACTTGTGCTCGAGTGCCAAGAATTTTCAGGAGTTTTGAGAACCCTTTCGACATCCGAATCTTCGTCCTCTTTCAACAACTTTGTAGCGAGTGCCATGAAGCACCAAGATGACAACAAGACTGTCCTCTTGCAAGTCCGTGTTCCCTGTATTTTCCTAATGAAAAGAAGTCTAAACTTCATTGTTAGGAATATGTGCTTGACATGCTTTCGAGGACGTTAACTAGTGATGATGAGTTGATGGTTCAGTCAGCATCTAGAGTACTCATTTCAATATTGCTGGATGGAGTTCACACCGTGGCGTCAAGAAAACACACACGTGCTCTCATTTTATTTGAACATGGCATAGTTCGGCACGTGTGTGCAGGTATAGTACAGTCACAAATTTATGATGCATTAACTAACTAAGTCGTCTTAGGCATATATCGGTGTTCGCAGCTTAATCAGTATACAACACTTTTACACCTCCTTGAGCTGGTAACGAATACTGAAGATGTGAAAGTACCTGGAACTTACTTCTCAGTTAACCGAACTTTTGGTGAACGAACGTGCATGCAGGAGTGTCGAAGTCGATATCATGCGCGTCTTACTGGTCAGGGCTGTGTTTACTTTCTCGGTTTCCTTGGTTCTTATAGCGCACGCAGGATCTGTCAACATCTGAGGACAGTGCCCTGCTACTTCATCAGATCTGCAAGTGCGTACGCCGTCTAGTGATGTGTGATTCGTGCAAGATTTCTCTGTTAAATTTGAGGATCATTGACGTTTTTGTTCCACTGCTCGACCACGGTGTGCCTGAAAATCCTCTCGAGTTGACTTTTCTCTAAGTTGTTCACTAGATACCCCTTGGCTTGAAGAAATAGTTGGCACCATAGCCGCTTTGACTCTTCGGAACCAGTCTGCCGCGTGCACTTTGTACGAGACGGATGGAATCAATAAAGTATTAAAGATCATGCAACACGATAGGAGAGGAAAGGTCCTACGTCAATGCTGTGTACTTATCAGAAACGTTGCAAACAGAAATGAAACTATCAAGGTGAGCCCTGGTATCTCGTTGCACGGTTATCTCACAATTAAGAACGTAGGAATATCTCAACTCGGTCAATGCAGGTCGTATACTTCGTTCATTGAAAGATGATCACCCTCGCTTTTGCGTTGATGTAGGCAGCGCTGCACTGAGAGATTTAGGTATCAGTGATTATAACGACGGATGGACACCGAGAACTCCCATTTTAGGGGCGAGTGGAGTTATCTTAGACCTCTAAGCTACACATTGAATTTGAACACCATCACGTCTCCCTCTTGAACGACGTAGTCTTTTCCCTCCAACTGTAACAGCCCATTTTCTTTTGCACCAGTGAACCCACCACTGCTCACGAAATCGTCGTAGTGGACTGTTTCAGCTTTGATAAAACCTTTTTCAAAGTCCGTATGTATGACTCCTGCAGCTTGAGGTGCAGTGAATCCACGGCGAATAGTCCAAGCACGCGTTTCTTTTTCACCTGTTGTGAAATAGGTGAGCAGTTCTAGCTGGCGATAAGCTGTTTCGATGAGCTCGCTTGTTCCATCGCTGTTTGTACCGATGCACAATAAATAGTCAACACGGTCTTCTTCGGTCAGATCTTTTAGTTCAGCCGCAACTTGCGCAGAAACACAGGTGATCCCTGCACCACTCTCCACTGCGAAGTCGGCAAGAGCTTTAAAATGCACGTTATCAGCACCATTGGTGGCTAGATCGCCTTCTGGCACGTTCGCCGCGTAAATGCAGGGTTTTGCTGTCAGCAGGCGTAGCTCCGTGATTATGTATCGATCGTCGTCGTTGAGTTCCATCTGTCTCACTTGTTTTCCTTGCTCAAGTTGACTCAAGATATCAGCAAGAACTTTAAGTTCAGACTCTGCTGTTTGCCCAGTAACGGACACTTTTCCTTTTGCCTTTTGGATCTTTTCCATTCTTTTCTGAATTTGTCCCATGTCGGCCAAGGCGAGCTCGGTGTTAATGATTGCTGCGTCTCTTCTTGGATCGACGATGCCATTCACGTGAACGATGTTATCATCATTGAAACACCTCACTACATGAACAATAGCGTCGCACTCACGGATATTTGCCAGAAATTTGTTCCCCAGACCTTCACCCTCGGATGCTCCTTTGACAAGCCCGGCGATATCGACAATTTCTACGGTGGCAGGAACGATGTTTGAGGATCGAGATATTGCCGCGAGGGTCTCCAAACGCTTGTCCGACACTGGAACGATTCCAAAGTTGGGCTCGATAGTACAAAAAGGGAAATTTGCGGCTTGCGCGCGACTATTCTCCACGAGTGCATTAAATAACGTGCTCTTCCCGACGTTGGGAAGTCCGACTATGCCGGTTTTTAGCGACGCTCGGCACGTCGAAGTAGAGTGCGCGGTACGGTGACTACCAAAGTGACCGCTCCTAGTGGGAGTTGATTTCGGTCGGAAGTAAGCAAACAAACTCTGCTCGCCCTTCAGGGCGTATGAAATTCCTCGATTCAACACTTGTGGTTGCATAGTTCCGCAAACTGACGTCCTCCGTGAAGGCAACGTCGCACGCGGGGGACCCTGCAGCCCGGGATAAGCTTCTTTTCACGAATTTTCCCAAGGTAGAAACGCCCGGTTGTGGATGTGATGTAATGGCATGATGGTGCTAAAAGATACAATGTATGTTCTCATCGGCGGTTCATGACTCGTGAGTCGCGGTGGGGGGCTCTCTGAACCCGTGAGATAAATCTTTCCACACTCCATCATCTCACGCACGCGAGTAAGCCCGACTGAGAGCTCTGACAGGAGACGCAAGCTGAAAGGCATCTACAGAATATTACACGCCGATATTGTTGAGCTGCTGGGCGTAGCATTTCGAATATCGTGCGCTAAGTACGCTAAGTGCGCTAAGTACGTCAAGCTTTAAAGGAGCTGGAGTTCGTGCTCATGCGTAAGGCGTTGCAGCAGCAGGATGAGACGGAATCTTCTTCCGAAGACTCCTACAATGATTCTGTTGGTGGCACAGAACAATCATGGATATCTTGGTTCTGCACTTTGAAGGGTAACGAGATGTTTTGCGAAGTGGACGAGGACTACATTCAAGACGACTTCAACTTGAGTGGACTGAGCTCCTCTGTCCCGTATTATGACTACGCCCTAGATATGATCCTTGACGTGGAGCGAGAGCGTCAAGAGCTGAATGAGCAGCAACGAGAACTAGTCGAGTCTGCGGCAGAGTTACTGTATGGTCTTATTCATGCGCGATATATTCTCACACAAAGAGGGATGACCGCGATGTTAGAAAAGTATAAACGAAACCACTTCGGGAGGTGTCCTCGTTTTCTCTGTGCGAACACGCCATGCCTACCAGTGGGTACATCTGATATATTCCGAACGGCCACTGTTAAGATATTCTGCCCGAAGTGCAAGGTAAATATGAACGTGGCCCTCCATCCTTGAACTAAAGTCTTTCGCATAGGACGTTTACTTCCCACGAAGCAAATACCAAGGAAACACAGACGGAGCATATTTTGGAACTACTTTTCCTCATTTATTTTTGATGACCTTCAGCCACTTGCAGATTACGAAGCAAGTTACTGCGTACGAGCCCAGAATCTTTGGATTCAAGGTAGTGTGCTCTTTTCCTGTGAGCAACATCAACTAATTGATCGTACAGATACATGAACACTGAACTTCTTGCGTGATTTCAAAAGTATAATAGATACAAAAGTTGTATTAAATGGTTCGGTCGAGTTGTTTTCCAACCTCTCTACTATCTCCCGGCAGAATATTCTTGACTAGTACAGTCTCAGAAACGTGATCTACCGCCTCGGCCTCTTGCAGCGCCCCGTGCTGTACCTCGACCTCCTCGACCTCCTCTCATCCCGGGGGCTCTCCCTGCTCGGCCTCTACCGCTCGCTCTGCCACCACTACCAGACAAATAGGTTAAAACCGCTTTCATCAGAAGAATGGAAGAACGGATGTACCTCACTGGGTTGATGAAACGCTCAACTGGTAGGAGCTTGTCTGGACTGATGTAGAACTTTGCACCTGGGTGGCAGTGAGAATAGAGACGTACACAAGCATCGATCACTTTCACCTTTCTCATACGACTCTGCGTTAACTCCTTCAATGAGTTTCACAGTAAACATCTGATCGATGTGTCAACACAGGCTGTGTACTCGACTAAAAATCTTGTCACCTTGTCATTTACTGGACCAAATATTTCTTCGACCTTCCCAACCTTTCATAGGTTCAAGAAAGGGCGAAATTAGTCAGAGCGTGGTCTTACCTGGGTCTTGTTTTCAAGGTAAACTGCTCCGTTGAAATACGGTACCTGTACGGTGACATTCGTCGACATGCTTCATTCGTGCAGTTTTTGTTACTTACCTTCTTGTTCGTCGATAGACACACAATCTCACCTTCACAAGCGTGTAAGAAAGTACCGATCTCTAGAGGCCAAAGTTAATACGGCTGGGAAAATGGATGATATTCCAAGAACCTTCAAGTGAGCTCGGCGGGCCTTCATCACGAAATTGTCCACTGCGGCCGCGACCGCGCCCCCGGCCGTCGAAACGTAAGCCGCTTCGACCTCCCGTGCTCGTGCGCCCTGCTGAACCGCGAGCTCCCCGGTACGATGGAGGACGCATCGCACTTCAGCAACGTGATACACAAGTCCGATCAGGGGTAGTGTATGCGTGAGCGACAGCCACCGCTTTCCGAACGCCGTTTCTCACGTTACGTGTCTCGCGAACCGTTGGGGCAGCGGAGGCGAGGAGGGTTGTTCTTCCGAAGGTGACGAGGTGTATGTACAATGAAAAAAACGAGAATTATCATTCCACAGTGGAATTTCCACTCAGCAATTCTCAAGGTAAGTTGTACTATTGTACGAGTGTTTTCGAAAAAACTGTGAAAATGTCGCGTGGAAATTTCGGGGGTGGCTAAATCTCGTGCTGAAGTAACTTTTTATCATTCATGCATACAATATTTAATATATATTAAAGTCTATCCGAATAATATAAAATATATTTTAATACAATTGCATATTACTAACCTCCGTGTCAAAAGTGATGATACTGAGCTTTGTTATACGCGTTATCGCATCATATCGAGGCATGCTGTACATCGCTGGAAAGCTGTTGAAATTTCCCGTACGTCGATGCAAGTTCCCCGGTGTGGATTTGCGTAAAATCGCCGATGAGTGATGATTTCCATTTTGTGTCAATTCCAAAATGATAGGAAAACGCAAAAAAAGTTGCAAAAGTTCGAGAGCGATTTAGCTAAATTTTTACCCCTCCTAGGGTTTTCTCCTTTTTTCTACGTGTGTACGCCCATCGACGAAACAATTCGAAACGCGCGTGCTCCCCGCGCCAGCGCGCGCGCGGACGACACAAATCGACCCGGGGCGCGACGGAGAGCTCGCGTGCCAAGTTTCACATGTTTTGGCCGCTTGGTCTGCTAAACCCAGGCACCGAGCGCTCAGGGGGCGAGGAAGAGCGCACGCCATCAAGTTTGAATCGCGCGCCTCGACGGACGAAGTTGCAGGTTCACGGCGACGCGCGCACGCGACCGGTGAGCGAGAGGCTGCGGAAGCGTGAGAAAACACCCTCGCGCACAGTCCTCGGTCCTCTGTTGAGCCCGTTCAAGGCTCCAAGCGGCGTGCGAGAGCGCGGTGGGCGGGAACTGAGCGACACGGAGAGGGTTGCTTTTGCCAAGTGTGTGCACTTTGCCGTGCGTTACGGACAAGCCTCGGTATCAGATGTATGCAAGGAATGGGGTATAAGCAAGCCTCATGGATACAGGATCCTACGTCGGTGGCGAGCGGAGGGAAACGTTGATTCTCGACCGAGAAGTGGGCGCCCGCGTGCATTGACGGAGGATGACATGAAGACGCTCGAGAATCTGTCAGAAGAGCTCCAAGGTTACTTCACGTGGGAATCGCTCGCGAAGCGGTTCACGGAGAGAACAGGTAAGCGCGTGGCGTATAAAACAGTGTATAATTTTTGTAAAGCAGCTGGCTGGCGCCA